CAGAAGGCCTTTGTTCACCCGTGTGAGACACTTTTTTTTATGCATGGGCACTTTTTATTTAACTTCTTTTGGACTGAAGCAATGCAACATCCGCTGACTGCAATGATAGAGCTTGAAAGATCAAAGACAATTTTTAATATAACTCCGACTGGATTCGTCTGAAAGAAGAAAGTCATATACACCTAGGATGCCTCGGGGGGTGAGTAAAACGCAGCCTAATTTTTATTTTTGGGTGAACTAACCCTTTAAGTCACCAATTTTAGGACTTGAGACTTGCTTGACAAATATTCATAAAAGACTTGACTTGACTTTGACTTGATATTCATGACTTGAGACTTGACTCGGACTTGAGTTAAATGACTCGAAATAACTTGTCTTTCGTTCAATAAATATGTTTGTTTTTGAACGCACCACAACCTAACCAAGCACCACAACCTAACCAAGTGACGCAGCAGGCAAGCAGAAAGAGCTAACGTAAGAGTGTGGACAGTGTTGCCAACTTAGGGACTTTGTCGCTAGATTTAGCGACTTTTCAGACCCCTTTAGTGACTTTTTTTTCCAAAAAAGCGCCTAGTAACAAATCTAGCGGCTTCTTGGACAAACCTTATTTAGTTTCTGAGACTCGCTGGTACTGCCGCACGAGCGCAAGGTTTTGTTTTTCCAGCGCGCACACACCTCTCTCTGCGTCTGCGCTGTTCAGCGAGAGGCTGAGAGAAGCAGCGCTTTCAGTTAAAAAAGATATTCTATCACTTCGAACTCTATTTTACACGCAAATATAGCTGAAATCACAGCACAGCCATTGACTTTATCTTATGTGTATTTGATTTCATTAGACGACGTCGTGATTATGAATCAGGATTTTTGTGCAGATTAACATCTAAGGGGAGAGCTAGTTATGTAGTCTTAATGGGCCGCGTTTCAGTCTCTATTTCATATTCATCACGTTGTCTTACAACAGAAACAGAAAAATATACCAGTGAAAACAGTTTTATTGAGAATTTGACTGCATTAAAATACAGTTTGTGAACACTATCAAATTTAAATGGTTATTCACCCTTTATAATGAAATGTCAGCTTTTTTTTTTGGGCAATAGCACTTAGTATATGCATGTGTACAGTGTCTAATGCCAATCAGCAATAAGGGGCGTGTCTACTTGTGATGTGGAGGAGAGAGCTTTCAGTGCATGGTACGGACATTAGCCGAGCCGAGCGACAGAAAGATAGAGATGGCGGATAAAAAAACAAAAGAGGAAAAAGTCTGCGGAATGATAAGGCAAGAAGTAGGACCCGTGAAAAAATCGGATCAGCTTTCCAGTGCTGGAGAGAACTCAAGGAGCGGAGGCCTGCGATCGGACGCCGAGGTTGCTTTGTTTCTTCTCAATAGGTGAGTAACACCGTGTCTACAACAGCTAAAGTCTGCCTACACTGGACGCGATCAAACGACCGTTGAAAACCATTTGAAATTTGTGTCAGCACGTCATAAATAGAACCCCGCAGCAGTTTTCTGTCGG